TTCACGTTAATTAATTACGCGTATCTTAATTAGTCACAATATTGGACTTGCGTTCTACCGAGGAGTCTGTTGTAGCATTAGCACTTCAACAATCCTAATATGTTGCCTTTATTAACAAATCATCATTATCACACGCTTTTCTTCATGGATTTGTTATTGCTTTGTCTTCTAGAATGCTCCACAGTTTGACTTTAAACAGCTCTACCTTACGTTTCATTCAATTACAGGTGGTTTTATAGCTCAAAAATACTTAAAAAACTGGTATTTTGGCTGTGAGCGGGGTCGCCTCTCCACAGATCTGACCTCTAACTTGGTTTGGTTTGGTCTCCATGAAGATAGAAAGGTTTAGGCTACGTTTATATTATGACGGTCTGAACAGAAAGTGCAAAAGTGGCGTTGCGTCTTCGCTTTTTATTCCGTGTTTAGACAAGCGTTTTTGGGAGTGTACATACGGTGACGCAAAAGTGTGTGGAATTTGATTGGGTGTACATGCCAGGTTTCTGTGTACTGTATGTATGTGATGTAAACGTGTACTCGACCTGAGCAGATGTGACCAGAGTTTTGCGTCTTGGGCAGTGTAGACGGAAACACTATGGCGGAGTGTATTCAACTTTTCCACTCTGGAGGGTGGTTTCAGATTTTTCAGTTTTTAAGCCCAAAAATGCCATCACTGTCAAAACGAAAGGCACTTCCGGTAAAATATTTTGTCGTTTTTACCCGCAAGCGTTAATATCACTCTGTGGAACATTCCAGACAAAGCTTTTCCACCAGAGAAGTTACACAATGGACCTTTAAATCAGAATATTAGGTATAAAATATTAACTACAAGATTTCTGAAGGTCAGTTTGAACCAAATTTGATGCTAGGAAAGTTAATAGTTTTGAATTCAAGTGCAACTAGTTATTGGTACTTTACATGCATGTGTATGGCTGAATGTTCAACGTTTACCACGATGACACAATGCACACTTTAGCAAACACTGATTTAAAATTACAAATGGATTTAAAAGCCATATTTTCAGGAGGTTGTGATCAACAGAAGTGTTCATGGTCCTTTGATTTTCAACTAAAAGGTGAGCCCTGTGTCCCTTGTCCCAGCGGATCTATTTAAAACAAATGATTTGTCCCAGTTTTATACAAGAAATGTCCCAGGTGTCCCTATTTTTGACTAATTTCATACCTGCCAACAAGTAAAGAGAGACATAAAGTGTCATCTGTTTAGGTAAAATACAGAAAATCCGCTTAAAAACGACCAAAACACAAAGAAAACGTGACTATACTGACTCACATTTTAATCATAAGTGGTCTCTGCTTAACAATTTCCCTTAATTACACACTTGTTTCACAATTTTTATTATTACGAACCACCAAAAAACCGGGGATGTCCCAGTTTTTTATCTTGAAATTCTAGTTTTGAGACTCTAATGTTATTTTAGTGGTCCCTGTTCAACAAAAACAAACATCTGACCTACTATAGTTCGAATTAAGTTGGCTCTTTTTTGCCAGATCGTGTTAAAATAAAACTGAAATTAAAGTCTAACAAAGCCTCAGACGGAGCCGTGCCTACAGTTAGCGTCAAACCTCCAGGGGATGTTGACAAAATCAGCTGCAAAGTATTACTATGTCTTTATAAACAACGTAAGTTAATTATCAAAACGAGTACTTGTACAGAAGACCTCGCTATTATCTGGGAACGTTTACAACTAGCTTCTATTTGGGACTAAACCCAGAACTAAACCAGGACTAAACCAGGACTAAACCAGGACTATAACAGAACTAAACCACGTCTCAATCAGGACTAACCTTGGCTCACTCCAGAAACCATTATTGCTAAAAAATTAAATTCCTTTCTCAACTTACTTGTCAAAATTGATCCTAGCGTGACTAAGCTAGCCGGCAGTTAGCAGTCACTCGCGCAACACTATCTGTAGCTAGCACCAATGCACTTGTTTTGAAATGCTTTATTCCGCTTTGGCAGGTCGCGCCGAGAATAATTAGCATCTTACAAACTTAATATGCTTTTCAATACAAGCGAGAACTGGCAGAAACATTGTGTTAATCACCGGCTTTTGTCGTTTTGTTTCCTAAAATAGCAAACCTTCGGGGAGTGCGGATCTTTATAGGTGAAACTGTCATGGCCGCCAGTCAAAACACCAGCTAATCCCATTTCAAAAGGAAGGACTAACTAACATCTATTACATTTTAAATTTGGCCGAGGTGGGTTTTTCCGGATGACGAATGTTATGGCACACCTGAATGTCGGTGCTAATGCTATTTGCTGATGCGCTAACGCTAACCTTAACGTGTTCTGGCGGTGTTAGTAATTTAATTATGAATCACAGTTATTGTTCGATACGAGGGCTGCTACAAGTGAAAAGATATTAAACATAACTCCGAACGTTTGCCGGAAAATGTGAATTGAACTGGGGCAAGTTGTAAACACCAAGTTGAAAATGTACGTAAACAGTGTTGGGAAGGTGACTTTTAAAATGTATTCCCCTACAGATTACAGATTACATACCCCAAAATGTAGTTTGTAACGTAATCCATTAAATTACTTAAAGTGAGTAACGTAATCTGAATACTTTGGATTACTTGATATTGTCATGCTTTTTAAAACCACATGAATGTAACAACCACATCCTGAAAATTCTTGTTTGTTCTCTTCAAATTGTCTGTTTAGCCCAAGTCTCCATGAACAGACTTTTGTTTTACTGTAGAGAAACAAAGACAAGGAAATCTTAACATGAGAAGTTTTATGTGCTAAAAGAAAATAAAAATTCCAGTCTGTCCTTGAACATATTGAAAATATTATTGATAGAGAAATGATTTCTATATGAGATCACTGCTGCTTTAAATTAGGTCCACCTACTGTTAGTGTCATATTGTTTTGACCTGGTTTAGTCCTGGTTTTGGTTTAGACCTGGTCCTGGTTTTAGTCCTGGTTTAGTCCTGGTTTAGACCTGGTTTTAGTCCAGTTTTGGTCCTAGATTTAATCTTGCTTTTAGCCCTGCTTTTAGACCTGGTTTTAGACCTGGTTTTAGACCTGCTTTTAGACCTGGTTTAGACCTGGTTTAGTCCTGGTTTAGACCTGGTTTAGACCTGGTTTAGACCTGGTTTAGGTAACCTGGTTTAGACCTGGTTTAGACCTGGTTTAGTCCTGATTTGGTCCTAGATTTAGTCCTGCTTTTACCCTGCTTTTAGACCTGCTTTTAGTCCTGGTTTAGACCTGGTTTAGTCCTCATTTTAGTCCTGGTTTAGCCCAAAATGTAAAAACAGCAATATGTAATCCATTTATTTGAACAAAGTAACTGTAATCCAATTACCACTCACTGAAACAGTAACTGTAACTGAATACAGTTACTCATAATTTCTATTCTGATTACGTAACTCCAGTACATGTAATCTGTTATTCCCCAACACTGTACGTAAATGTAAATATGTAAAAATAATGACCTACTGAAGCAAAATGGTAGGTATGTGGGATAATATCGATAAAAAAATGCCAAAATTTCAAAACGTTGGCACAAAAAACACTCCAAAAAACTCAAATTGGGTAGGAATTGTCTACGCATTCAAATATAGCAACATCAGTTTTATCTCAATTATGTTGATCTACGATTTGAAAACTCCCTTAAAACTCTCTTAAAACTAAAAATCCATACACCAACTTGTTAGTTTTTGTTCTTCAAGCTTCTTCAAGTTACTAACCATTACAGCAATGGGCCTACACAATAAAACAACCAATAATATCTTAGTCCAAACCAAAAATAGTAAGTTCCAGATTGTAAAAAATAAGTAAAAGTGCATATGACAGGTTAGACTACCAAGTTACTACTTTTATTTTTTCTAGTTCTTAAAATTTTACTTTCTGGTTGGACACCGGCAGCAGATCTGACATACGTAGAGGTAATTCCTAAACTTTTACCCAGCAACCAAAATGTAAACACAGCCCAAAACGTGTCGAAATTGCACAACTATGGCTACAATAATAAAAAAAATTATATATGCCAACATAGCGTAATAAACGTCCTGGAGTAGTAACATTCGGAAGTTATATTTTTTGACCCAAACCAACTCAATTAACCAACACAGGAATTGACCTGAGGTTAAAAGTTATTCGGTTTTGCTTAATATTTTCTAATTTTTAAGTTATGTGTAAAATCCTTCAGTCGTCCAGGTAGAATCTATGGACAAAAGTTTACTTTGGTCGACCAGCTGACAAATTGAATTTCTCCTTTTGCCATATGCCAACATCTTTATTTTGTTAAATGACGGTTTAAACCATCAGAAAAATGTGTTCCAATTGTGCATAAATTTCAGTATTCTCACGCTTACGTCACAAAACCGGAAAACGTTTGGAAACACGCGGACGACGACTTTCTTTGGGTTCTTTTGGCGATAGTAACTCGACAAAATCTGGGAAAACTGAGAAAATGGCCCGGTTTTCTTCATCTAGACGCCGTATTGTGTAATAATTTGTCCAAAAAAATAAATAAAAATGTCATTGTATTGTTTCGTTATGTTCGACAGATCAGCAGTTACGACCAGCTGCCTGTACGTGACATCGAAGACGAGATTTGAGTTCTGAGCCCCATGGAAAGCTTTGGCTGAATCCACGGTTTTATCACATGCCCAAGTGTCGGGAATTACGCCGGAAATCGTCATCGTCATGTTTCCAAACGACTTCTGGTAAGCGTGAATAGAGCCTATTTTGTTTTAGAACTCAGCACTACTTCTTGTATTTTTGTACTTTTCTTCTTAACTTCACTTTTTCCCACAAATCGCCAATTAACTGATGTAAAACTACAATCAATATTGACCACAAGTTCTATCCTAGATTGATAAAAAACATAAAAAAACCTGCCATATGCACTTTAAACTGAGCTCCATACTAACTGAACGTCCACATAAGAGAACAGGGAGGTGGGTGGGTGGAGGATGGGTATGGGGGTGGTCTGTATGCGCTTCCACATGCCCTTAGTTTCTGTCCTGGCTCACCTTGCTCACTGCTGTTGTCGCCGCTCTGGGAGGCGTGGCCCCCGCTGGAGGGACCCGGGGTGCCCGCCGAGTGCGTGGAGGTGGCGTCGTCATGGTCTCTCCACGAAGCCGGGTTCTGATGGGACAAGAGACGAAGAGAGACGAGTTAGGTTTGTCATTGGGTGGTTAAAGGTTCGACATTACGTGAAATGGACATTGCGATGTTACCTCCTCAAAAACAGACCTGGAGTTTGTTTGAGAAAGCTTTATTATTAGTCTGTTTGCATCTCCAATTCTCAAAATGCTCTGGTACCACCTTGTGATGTCATGAAGCGGTAGTTTTAGCTACGTTTTTGTTCAGTAGTGATTGGCAATTTCAGAACTGAAAATATCCACATTATTCTAGAGAAAGTGTATGTTTCTAGCTGGGCTGGTGCCATCTAGTACCTGCACTCAATTCAATTTCTCTCTAGCGACTAGGTCAGGAATCGGAATAAACTAGACCAGGGGTGTCCAAACTTTTTTCATCAAGGGCCACATATCTAAACACAGACGAAGCAGAGGGCCGATCGAGGGCCATAGACTAGTGCTCAGTACAGTGAATAATTGAAATATGTGCATGTTTAACACGTTAGAATGAGCCAGCAGTCTTTATTCATGCTCAGATCCTTAAAACCACACACTAAACATTAAATATAAGCTTTATTAAGGTAGATTTTCAAAAAACTTGCAGTAAAAAGTAAATTTTTTATTGATGCAAGGTCATTTGGGCCAATTCACCTGGAAGCCTGAGGGCCGCATTTGGCCCACGGACCGTAGTTTGGACACGCCTGCACTAGACAATTTGCAAGAACCCCGGAAGCGTGAGTTTGGGCACCAGCCAGTTAGCGAAGAGTCATACATTCTGTGTTGGCAACGATTCCCGAAATTGAGGATTTAAAGCCGGAACAAAGAGAATGTTTGGTGAATTTTATTAATAGATGTTATTGTCCTTCTTCCTACGGGATTTGGCGCATTACATACGTCACGACCAACCTGCTTATCGTCGAGTGAACGAATTCTAACGCTGCGAGATCAGACGGTTTCCACGAAGTGAAACCGGCTGATGAATGAGGCTAATATGTTTATATATTACCACATGACATCACAGGGTGGATTAATTTCAAATTGAGAGAAGAACTCAGCCTTAATATGTAGGATTTGTGCGTTAAACACGTGTGAACAAAACAAAACACAACTCCAGGTCTGTTTGTGATGACGAAACATTACACACATTCGAACAGATCAGAAAAAAGGTGCAATGGGCCCTTAAAGTTTTCTTAAAAGTTGCACTGCGAAACTTGCGCAACTTGCTTAACTTTTACTTATGACGTTACTATTAAAATGTCTGTACCTGATATTTTTTCTAGCCTGTATTTGAGCAAAATATGTCAGGGGTAACTTTGAACCGCCGCAAAGACAGTAAAAACCAGGTACATTCCCTTAAAATAATCAATCACTGTCAAAACGTAGGTTGTACCTCCAGGCCAAGGGCATGTTTTCGAAGTATTTCTGAGCAATAAAAACACCTCACAGTGATAGATCAGTTTTATGTCATACTGTGGTACTTGTTCAGTGTTCGGCTCCAGTCAAATGAAGCTCACAGAGGCCAGCGGTTATAAGATGCAATGCTATTAATGTGCACTGTCCCGTGTTAAACCAAAAAACACTAACACACACAATCATAATAAAAAACAATAATTTCTCAACACTGATTTTCCCCACTGATAAAAGGACCAATAGAATTCTTTTTCCATACATTGTGAGAACCCTCGCCGTTAAACGTTTTCATGAGCCAACGCTGCCACATTTCTCTCCTCTCCCCGCACACGAGGCTCACCGGGTTTTCTACTGCACAGGAAAACCTTTATCAGAGGAGGCCGAGGTGGAATTTCCTCTGGCTTTTCGAACCCACGAACGTACAGCCGCTATACGTCATTGGACTTCTTACTACTCCTAATCCGTCAAAACAAATAAGATAAACCTGGATTAAACTGGAGCTATAAACACGAAACGAGGACTAAACCAGGATTAAACGTTTAAGTTGTAGTGTAACCCTGGTTCTATGAGTGAATATATCTCCATACTTCGTACAGTCAGTTTGTAATGATGATATTAGAGCATTGTAGAGAATAGGGAGACACAAAATTTACATTAAAACAGATATAAACTATGACAACAACAGATTGAAACCAGCTAAACTAAACCAGATTTATAGAGTAACCCTGGTTCTATGAGTGAACAGTTCTCCATACTTCGTAGAGTGAGTTTTTTATGATGATATTAGGAGATTTTAGAGAACAGGAAGAAACAAAATTTAAATTAAAACATAACTAGAACAGATTTAAACCAGCTAGGATTAAACCTGGACTACACCAGATTTAAACGTTCAAATTATAGAGTAACCCTGGTTCTATGAGTGAACAGATTTCCATATTTCGTACAGTCAGTTTGTAATGATGATATTAGGGGATTTTAAATAACAGGAAGAAACTAAATTTAAATTAAAACAGATGCAAACGTTGACGAGACCATATTAAAACCAGCTAAACTAAACCAGGACTACACTGGATTTATAGAGTAATCCTGGTTCTATGAGTGAACATATCTCCATACTTCGTACAGTCGATTTATAATGATGATATAAGAAACAAAATAAAAATAAAAATATGACTATAACAGATTTAAACCAACTAGGATTAAACCAGGACTACACCGGGATTAAACGTTCAAATTATAAAGTAACCTTGGTTCTATGAGCGAACAGATCTCCATACTTCGTACAGTCAGTTTGTAATGATGATATTAGGGGATTTTAGAGAACAGGAAGAAACAAAATTTTTATTAAAGCCGATGTAAACAATGACTACAACAGATTTAAACCAACTAAACTAAACTAAACCGGAACTACAACGGATCTAAACATTCAAATTATAGAGTAACCCTGGTTCTATGAGTGAACAGACTTCCATTCTTCGTACAGTCAAATTATAATTATGATATAAGAAACAAAATTAAAATTAAAACATCACTATAACAAATTTAAACCAACTAGGATTAAACCTGGACTATATTGGGATTAAACGTTCAAATTATCGAGTAACCCTGGTTCTATGAGCGAACAGATCACCATACTTCGTAGAGTGAGTTTGTAATGATGATATTAGGGGATTTTAGAGAACAGGAAGAAATTATTTTTTTATTAAAACAGATGTAAAGAATGACTACAACAGATTTAAACCAACTAAACTAAATTAAACCGGGACTACAATGGATTTAAACGTTCAAATTATAGAGTAACCCTGGTTCTATGAATGAACAGATCTCCATACTTCTCCATACTTCGTACAGTCAAATTATAATGATGATATAAGAAACAAAATTAAAATTACAACATGACCATAACAGATTTAAACCAACTGATGATTAAACCTGGACTACACCAGGATTAAATGTACGAATTATAAAGTAACCCTGGTTCTATGATTGAACAGATCTCCATACTTCGTAAAGTCAATTTGTAATTATATCATATAGAACTGAAAGAAATAAAAAAAACAAATTAAAACAGATCAAAACTATGACCTGAGGTAACTAGACTAAACCAAGACTGAAACTTTAAACCTAATCCAAGACTAACGCAGGAATAAAACCAAAACTGGAACTAAACTCGGACTAAACTTGGAACTAAACCAGGACTAGACCAGGGCTGAACCAGGATAAAAGACAATATTGTGATTTAATGTTGAAAATCACATTCTATTGTAGTTTTTTGTTATCATCCTGGTATCGGAATCGGTATTAAGTATCGAGTCTACGCCTTAGCATCAAAATCCAGTTCGACGTTTTGAGTTTAAACCACGTACGACTAACACCAATGCCCGAAACAATCCCGCGCAGCACACTTTGAGAACCACTGCGTCGATCTACCCCCGATATTGCGCGTCACCTGAGTTTGATGACAACATGTTGGCCAACGTTGAGCCCCGAGCAGAAACCAAGCTAAACAAACACCACACCGGGTCTAGCCACAAACCTCAGCCCACTTCTGCAGTCCCTCAGAGGGTCTTTCTCCCCCATGCACACAGCACGGGCCAGCAAGTTGATTTTTTTATTTTTTTTTGTACCGCTTTTAGTCAAACAGTGCCAAAAATGAGCCACAACGGAGACGGGCTACGCTACATAAGCTGCTTACTGTAATATCTGCGGTAATTTGACCACCAATATCCGGGAGAAGTTTGCCAAGGGAATATCGAGGCAGAATCCTACATTGAAAAGAATCTTGGAAAACTTCATCAGCCATGTTTACCCTTAATTCAAAGGTGAAATCAATCTGGTAAATATTAATAAAGACGCACTATTAGGGGGAGAAGACGTCCCTGTTTACTCAAGACAGTCCCAGTTTTGAGCCCCGTGTCCACTGTCCTAGTAGATTTATCCAAAACCAGTGATTTGTCCCAGTTTTATACAAGAAATGTCTCTATTTTCTGACCAATTTGACGCCTGCCAACAATAAAGAGAGGCATATATTGTCATTTGTTTCAAGTAAAATACACAAAAGCTGCTTAAAAACAACCAAAACGCAAAGAAAATGTGACTCAGTGTGTGCAACAATTTTCTTTTTTTCAACATTTTATTATTACCAGCCACCCCAAAACGAGAGTGTCCCAGTTTTTTACCCTACGCACTCTGTAGCTTTTCTCGGGATATTTGTTGTTTTGTATGGAGATGTTTTTGCTTGAATTGTTCCATCGTGACACGCAAATGACACCGCCAAGGTCAGGTTACGGGTCAGATCTGTGGAGAGATAAACCCCAAGTGTACAGATATATTTAATGCCACGCTATGGAACATTCCAAGGGATGTCAACATGGGGACAAGGAGATGGTGGACGCTCTACCAGTAAAGTTAAGTTATAGTGCACTTTAACTTTAATAAATCAAATTATTAAGAGGGAAAATTAGGTAATAAGTAGTAGTAGTAGTAGTAGTAGTAGTAGTAGTAGTAGTAGTAGTAGTAGTAGTAGTAGTAGCAGTAGTAGTAGTAGTAGTAGTAGTAGTAGTAGTAGTAGTAGTAGTAGTAGTAGTAGTAGTAGTA